TCCTCCTTGACAAAGTTGGGTGTAGCCACCCTCCTCCATCAGCAGCTGTTTCTGGGCTCATCTGCCCACTGCTTGCTTGGTCAGGGGGTCCCAGGCACCCACAGGATGAGCATGACGGGCAGGAACCTGTAATTATCAACCCAATCCCCCTTTAGAAGTTGGGGACGGTGCCCAACCAACACCTCCTCTCACACTGCTGGTGGCAACAGGAAAAGGATGAGATGGTGACAAAGATATTTTCTTAAACTCTTTACATGCAGGCCCTCAGCAAAGGCAGACAGTAATGCTCTCTCACCTCCATGCTCCCTCCCTCCCTCCCTCTTGTACCTGTCACATTTATACAGACTGGTTCCACAAAACACTTTTCAAATGTGCATTTCTTTAATTTTGAAAAATATACACAGGAGAAGCCATGTGTTTTACATAGGAATACACACATTAACAAAGCATTTCTTATAGTTTCCCAAAACTCTATTATATGTCTGAAATTTATAAATTAAATATAGCAGAACCTTTTAAGTTAAAATCAGATCCCTGAAACTACCAGATACGCTCGACTTTTTCTCAAGATCAAATGAACAGAGAATGTGAATATGGTTTGTGTTAAATAAGGTTTATTGTTAGCTTTATTGCCTATAGTCTATAAGATGCAACTTTATTGTGCCTTTGCAAACAGAATACATTTCTTAAAAAAAAAAAAACTGATCAAAATTTTCCATACATATAGCTCTATATGATAGATTACAGTGCAACACTATTGTTACATAATTATAGAAATACTATAGAACCCAAGAGCACAGGGTAAGCAAAAGAAATGCAATCCTGAGCCATCTGAAAAAGATGATCTGATGAATCCTTTTAAGTGTAGGTTTAGAAAACATGGAGGAGGGAAAAAAAATACATGCACACTGCAGTCAGGAGCGAAATACATTAAATACCTGTTCAGCGAGACACAGGTGGGGGCAAATGGTGAATTTCAGACACATGCACACTCACTCATTCTCCCGTTTCTTCTCCTGCTACCCTCCCATCCCCGATACATTCAGTCCCACCCCCTCCCAAAAGAAAAATGTCAGGCACTGAGTCCTAGTGAACCCCACATCTGCCTTGCTGGAGAACATTAAGTGACTGCTAAAAGAAGCGTGTAGGTCATCACCCATAACACCAAACAAAGCATGTGCGATAAGCCAATTCCAGCTGTTTCTGCCTCTTTGGAAGTAAATGAAGCATATGCTCACTACAGTTTAAAACCGTAGAGGGAAATGTCTTGAAAACTCCCTACGTCTTGAAGTAAAATCAACAGCAGAAAAACCTGCCCTAAAACTAATTGCCTCATCTGCAATTAAAATACATTTGTCATTCTATTTTTGGTATCTTTTCAATTCTCCTTCAGTAAGCACAGTTTGTGAAGTTTGTACCTGTTTATGGTAAACACCACTGTGCTGCAAAACACTTGCCATCGCTGGACGGCCTCACAAAGCACCAAATCTCCTGCGTGTTCTTTGCCAATGACATTCCCTCAAGACCACAGCATTCTAGTGTTCCCAAGGATGATGCAAGTAGAGATAAGTAATGAAAGGTATTTGGTTTGTGTCTTCACCTTACACAGCCTAGCGATGAAGTTAACCAAACATGCCTCCATGCCTTCCCTGAAATTAACCTGAGTCAGCTGACTAAGCAGACTGGCCAGCCTGTCAATCCACTTAATCAGAGATTGAGCTGGAAAACCGGAGGGTTAATGTCTACCAGCAGCTTGTCTTGTGCCGATAAACCAAGAGTTCTTGGTTTTTGCAAAATCTACTGTCCCAGAGGGTGAAATCACCGAGGTGGAAAGTAACTCACAGCATACAATATACTGAACTTAAACTGCATAACCCGTGGGACTACTTGGAGAGGAAAAAAAGGATCTTCATTCCCCACATAATGAGATGTGGGTTTTAGTGTGTCCGTATACATCAGCTGCTACAGAAAAATCAGTAAGATTTGCTTCATCACTTTCTTAGGTTCAATCAAATGCTCATACACTCACAAGATACTCATACACCCTATGAATTATGAGGTGGCTCTTCTCTTCAAAATTTTAAAAATCAAGAGGCACCAATACCCGTTCATTTATGTATTAGAAGTATCATAAAATCACCACTAAAATGACAGAAATGGCATCAGTGATGATCGCACAAAGGAGAAAAAAGATCAAAAGACAACCTTCGCCGCTGCACTTCACTGTGTACTTGAAAGCACAGTGGCTCTAAATCAGAATGTAAGGATCTGATAAGGTTTTATTGGTTTAGCATAGTTCCATGGCCTCTGTCGGAGCCTGGGAAATGGAAATAGTTTCCAAGAGATTTAAGAAATCACTCAGATTCTGTTTTAAATGCACACTGTTATCATTAATCTGACAGTAAAAACCTTGGCTCTATCACGACCTTTTGCAAGAGAAAGCAGAGTGCAACAACTGCACTGACAGTGTCAGTGACAACCTGGTCCTGACACAATCGGGGAAGGTGTTTCTAGAGTTGAAAGGGCAGCATGCTGCATTTCTGTATCTTTGGTTAAGCTCTGGTCTCTTCAAATCCACCTCTTTCCTTCACATTTAGTCACCAGTGAATTTTAAGTTGGTAATGTTTAATTATAGAAGGTCACAAGACATCCTTTGCATGTTAAATTATCAAATCAACAGTTTCAAATTTTTGGCCCTAACCCTGCCCAGTGGGAACCACAAGGACCCTGCATGGGCAAATGCAAAATCAGATGCTTCCATTAAAGCATATTCTTTCTAAAGTTTCACGAGCGACATAGAAAATTGTCAGTGGGGCTGCCAACACTGCGAGAGGGATAAAGCGGAGCTTTTTCTGGCTTCTCTTCTTGAAAGGGGCCTAAGCCAGCTGCTGTGGGGTCTGGCTGTCAAAAACACATACCACCGGCCTCCAGAGCAATGTCAGTAATGTAGGAACCTTACACAAAGCCTCAATATTGTGTGGGTGTTTGAGGTGGAAAGGTGAGAATTAAGTTGTAACTAAAACTAAATCTGGCCTAGTGAGCAAAAGGTAAAAAAAAATAAAAATAAAAAATAAAAAAGACACTCTGGGTTTAACTGAAAGAAAAAAAGATGAATCACTTTTACATCCTCGGCCCAAGTGTTGCCTGGAGTTTTCTTTCTAGCTTCTCCTGGAGTCCGAGGAGCTACTCTCTGCTCTCTTCCTTCACTGCTTTAGCAGACAGCAGGTTCCAACAGGAGAGCTGTGGAGCTGAGCCCTAAGTTGGCCAAAGCAGGAAGTCAGGCAAAGCGAGCACTGAGCTGGCCAATCAAATCCTGGCTCAGCCCCACGGCATGCAATGGCAACCCTCACCGTCAGCCTGACCACACACAGCAACCAAGCAGTATCCCCTTCATTTACAAACAAATCCCAGCTCTCCCTGGTAAACATTTCAGGATGAACCATCCAGGCTGGTATATATGACAGCAATGCTGCCAGTTTCCAATAACTGAGCACCAAATCCGGTATCACCCTCCTCCCCGCCCACGCAAACAAAGTCAGTCTGCAGTTTAAAATGTGAAGCGTCACGTTTCTCTTTGCTTCTGTGTCGTCTCCTTTCTTCATTTTCTCGTGGAAGTTTTCCTATGTTGATATTCAGTTCTGAGTCAGATGATATAGAGTTGCAAAGTATTTGGTGATTTCCATATGACATTCTCCTCAAAATGAAGTAACTTCATGGGTTTAAGTCAGAATTGCGTCCACAGACGTCTTTTCCTTGTAGTTCATCATACAGAGAAAGACTCTCACGCATGGCTATTTCCGGACAGTGCATTAAATGAAGATACCTCACAAGAGAAACGATCATTATCTGTATCCATCAGAATAATATACAGATTCACAGTCAATGAGATGATACATTTTGCAGAAGAGAGGCATTGAACAGGATGCTACTCAAATACAAAAAAACAGCAATAAACATTCTGCGCTACAGAAAATTTGCTAACTTCTAAGGACTGAAAGTGATGAGTCTGATAACTGCATCTGAGGACTGGAACATGCTTCTTCCCTTCCAGATACACAATGTTTGATGCTGGTGCACATGTATATATCTATGTACACACACATGCACAACACTGTGTTTGCAATGATATACAAATGCAATATACACAGCCAAGTCCTGAAGGCAGATTTCAGAGAAGAGGGCTACCAAGACCAAGAGAGCAAATGTCAACTTAACACTTCTAACATCAGAATTTTGTTTTTATTGAACACACTCTTAAAACAAGCATCTCTTGGCAATAAAAGCAAAGAAACAATAGTACTGCTTCCACTCTGTTCTAGTGGAAGACTGCTCACACCGACCTGCTAATAAATTCATTATGGAATTTTGCAACAGGCAGCCTGCTGGAGCTACCAGCACAGCTCAGGTGCAGGTCTGTTGACTCCTCAGTGAGAGCTGGAGTTGAGGAAAATATCAGAAAGCAAATTTGCAATTTATCACAGCTTTCTTCCTTAAGCAAAACAAAAACAAAACCCTGCAGATGAGTTTCATAACCACAATCAGTTTATCAAACTTTTTTTTCTGAAAGATTTTAATTATGTTACATAACAGGAAATAAAACTTCTTCACAAACATTCTCAAGGCTTACAGTTATCAGGAGAATGACCAAAGTAAAAGCAGGAGAACTATTAAACACATGGCAGGAAGGTAAATTTCTGTTTCTGCTCTTAAAAAGTAAAAAAATCACCATATAATTAAGTACAAAAACCTGCATTGAATGACAACTGCTGGTGTATTTACTTGATCAGAAATGAAGACCAAGAATATAATAAAGCCCTATGATAATATCCAACTGGAGCACTCCCCACCGTGTGTACACACTAAGATGTTGGCAAAGTTTCTGGAGCATTAGCTTATAGAAACATGGGAGTCCTTGGTTAGCTGCATTAAATGGAACGTTCTCTTCTGAAATGCACCCTCGATTCAGTTTCACTTACAAATTGCAAACTAAAGTTATTTCTTCAGAAAAATATCTGTTTGGCATCCCCTGGACTTTGTTCCATTGGACAATATGGACATTTTAATCTAAAGACAAGAGAGAAAAGATTGAATCAAGAAACAGGATCAGTACTGAGCATTCAATTTTTATCTAGTTACAGAGTATCTCGTAACAATTACACTCACAGATATGCTTGCTTGTGCACGTCTATAACTGTGCTTTCCCTTAATAGAACAGCCATGCTTTGAACAGTTAAAAATAAACACCGTCCAAGCCAGACCCTAAATTGCAAGGCTCTTCTTCAGTGGCAATCAGTGAAAAGTATTTTGAAAACAAAACAAAGACAACTGTTCAGAGTGGCCTACATGCCCGTGGTGGCACACGACACGCTGTGGGGGCATCAGAAACCAGCATGGTCTGCCCCAAGTTGCCACCCTCCCGCATTCAGCTGAGAAGGGCATAAACAGCTTCAGGGCCTTTTCTTCAAAGAAAGACTTCGCTGTAATGGGTCTGAAATGAACTCCAATGAGAAATTCTCTAGCTGCCTATGCTAGAAATAGCATTTTGAGACTGTTTTTTAAAAATCTAATTAATAAATTCTTGAACAAATTTCTCAGTCTTTAGATTGAGAAAAGATCAGATACCACCCACTAAATAAGTAAATCTACATATTTCTAAATTCTAGCTATGTTTATTTATCCTTATTATTTATTGTCCCAACAAGTTCGACATATATATATTACTAACATTTAAAAAGTCAAGACACTTACTTGCTACCATTAAACATTTTATTCAGGGCATCTCTTGATATAATATGACCACAGACCAATTTCATGGGTGGATTGTTATCTGTTGTTTGCTGACGAAGAATAGGACAGGCAAATATCGAATGATACCAGCACTTTTTACCAAGGTCCACTTCAATCTGTTTTTAAAAAGGTAAAGGACTCAAGTTATATTTCAGGAAACCATCCATATGCCAGTATATACTCTGCAGTAAAGAACATTCATCAAACCTGCTCATACGAAGGTAACTTTTTACAACACTCTTCTAAACTAACTCAAAGATGGACAGTCTTAGGGACTCAAAGTATTATCTCATCATTCTAAATCAATCTTCAACATTATTTATAACACTATATAGCAAACCAAATTCTAATGCCTGAAAGCAAAGGTCAAAGGCAAGGCAATACTCTGGAAGCTAAACACTCTCAAAGACTCAAGATGTATGAAAGAGTAACACCAAGGAACTCCCCTGGCGGTCCAGTGCTTAGAGCTCGTGCCTCCACTGCCGGGGCAGAGGTTCGATCCTTGGTCAGTGAACTAAGATCCCACATGCTGCACAGCATGGCCAAATAAATAAACTCACCAGAAATGCCAATGGTTTTCACAACACACTGATACAATTCAGTGTGCTAATTCATTAAAGGCAGACTAAATATTGTTTACTGCTGTGTGGGCTTTAGATCTGGGTTTCCCGTGTTTTGTATGGAACTGTCCAGAGAAACCACCTGAAACAAGGGCTTCAAACTAAATTTCAGCCAGAGAATTCACACCCCATCCATCTGTGCCCATAGCACTCTATCAGCTATCTCTCTCTGCAGTGAACAAAACAAAAGCTGTGCAATCACCTTAGCATAGTGATTAGCATGTGACAAGAGGCTTCACAAACAATCAGTTCTGTTTTCTTTTCTTCTAAATCTCAAATGGCTATATGACAAAGTCTATATTGCCCAGATTCTTCCAAGAAAGTTGGCAGAGTGTAACAACGATCCCGAGATAAATAACCAGATCATTCCCTTCCACCCCCGACTGCTTTATTCCCCTGACACAGGCGCTGGGTGAATTCAGATTTTGGTGTGCTCTGTTCTAGGCTGCAAGCGTCTGGCACTGACAATACAACTGGGAAACTGCCAGGTTCTCAGCAAAGCAAGGGAAGGCTCGCGTGCTTTTCACTTGTTTCAACAAGCAGCTGCCACGCGGGGTACTGCTTATGTCCTGACCACACTCAGGGCTGGGCGTGCACCTGCGCCTTTAATCAGAACTGATCTCTGAGAAGCTGGGGCAACCAACTGACGTTATCAGCTGGAATTACAAGGGAACTGCAGATAAACCTGCACGCAGAGGTGGCAGGAGAAAAGCGAAAAGCTAAATACATATTTCTGGGCTTTGGGATCCGTGACCAAGTCAGGGAGGAATGAGAATTCCTGTCAAAGATCCAGTGCCTACTGTCAGAGGCCTAGTGGAAAAACATAAGACACACACACACACACACACACACACACACACGATGAACTATGTTATGCTTCCATGTCATAACTCCTATGGCAACAAAACCTGACTACCTACTGTGTGTCCCATATTATTCTAAGCATTCCTCTGTTATCTCTATCGAGCCTTTAACAGCCCCATAAAGAGAAGGATGGTCCCCATTTTAGAGATGGACAAACTACCGCTCTGAGAAGAGAGAGGGCTGGCAAGTGACCAGAGTAGATGCTGACCTTCCAGACACCCTGAAGGGTAGTGCAGGGTGGAGAACAGGAGTGAGGCACTCTGTGCTCCAGTAAAACTGGTGCAACAGGTCTTCAGATAGTTAAATATTTTCAGGAACTGATTTTATGAGCCCAATCCTTGCATCTCCTCATACCTATATAAGGTGCTGTCTTCCAGGCTGCGGTCCTCATTCTGTCCTCAATAAAACTTAACTCACAACTCTCATACATTTTTTTTTAAGTCGACAGCACTTAGAACACCGCACATGCCTCAGTATATCCACCTTTCCCCCTTCTGACCTCTTCCTTCACTAGCTGTCGCTGCTGCTCTAAGTCAAAATGGTAAGAAAACTCCAATGCCTCCAAAATGTACCTATGGCTCAGACAGTAAAGAATCTGCGTGCAATGCAGGAGACTAGGGTTTGAACCCTGGGTGGGGAAGATCCCCCAGAGAAGGGAATGGCAACCCTCTCCAGTATTCTTGCCTGAAGAATTCCACGGACAGAGGAGCTTGGCTGGCTACAGTCCATGGAGTCACAAAGAGTCAGACATGACTGAGTGGCTAACACTCCTACCTACCCTGCTTTTACTGTTTAATTATGTCTCCGTACAGATAAAAGAATCCCTGTCAAATGGCTACAATAAAGTTTCCTGATTAAAAGGCAAAATAAGCATTTAAAGTCCATCACATCCACGTTCTTCTCTTGACAGGAGAGGTAATAACCAATAGGAAACGGCACTCACAGGTAACTCATCTTTCTGGTTCCAAACGCCAGTGCACTGCCTCTGTTCGATCACAGCTTTGATGTTAATTAAAGCCGGCAGCGCCACGCAACCTGCTGAGAAACTGGAGGGCAGAAGAGGAAATGTTAAAGCCAGGCCAGGGGGCAGAAAGCTTGGTCCCAGGCAACACCAATTCCTCCAGACTGCGTGCTGTGTGCAGAGGGTCCCACTGGATTCTAGGTATGATAAAGCCATCTGTTTTGCTAAAGTAGTGTTGTCCACACATGCGCATTCTTTTCTTTCAAGTGTAGGAGAAGAGTAGATTTCTTTGCCAGGCAAAGGAGAAACAGCAGGCTAGCACCTCAGGAACTGTGCACCCCCCCCCCCACAGAATTCTTAGCATTAATGACACTCTGAAACGTTTCCTTGCACAGCCCCTTCCAGACCTAGATCACCCTGGAGAGCCAGAGCAGAAGTACACACTTCTCAGATCTGCAAGTGCTGGCAGTCAACTTTCTGCTGAGTCCCTCCTTCAAGACTGCCCTCACCTGAAGGAAGTGACCTGACCCCAGTCACATTCTAAGACAGCTCCACCTGATGATACAAAAATTGCCCCAACTGGGATGACTCCACCGGCCACCGCAGCTCCGGAGTGCCCCAGGGGTGGGCTGAGGCCTCTGGTGACACTGCATCAGAGTCCAGCCGTCCTCTCTGCCTGATACTGCTGCGCTTGCTCCCTGCAGGGGGTGATCCCAGTAAACCTCCTGCACGTTTGTCTCCCCCCATTTCAAGTCTGTCCCAGGGAACCTGACCCTGCAGACCCACAGCACATTAAAGTGAAGTGCACTGTCTCCTACATAGGACTCTGACCCCTGTGAACACAGGCTGCACCTGATTCATCTCTGTGTCCCACACAATGCCTGGCACAGAGCAGGGATTCAAAACACTAGAGGAATCAAATGAATTGAAAAGCTGCAAGAGTCAGTTCTTGAAATAGATTCTTAAACCTTTTGATCTCAGGACCCCTTTACAGGCTGAAACATTAAGGATCTCAAAGGGTGTTTGGTTCTGTGGGTTTCATCATTATTTATTGTATTAGAAAGTAAAATTGAGAAACGTTTAACATTTAAATGTTTTTAAATGTTGAAAATAATAAATATATTACATGTGATAGATAACAGTCTCACAAAAAATAACTATATTTTCCAAACCAAAAATAACCTTGTGAGAAGAGCAGCACTGTTCTGTTTTTTCATATCTTTCTAACCTCTGGTTTAATAGAAGACGACTGGATTCTTATACCCTCTTCTGCATTCAGTCTGTTGCAATGTATTCTTTCGGTTGAAGTGGAAAAAAAAAAACCCAGTCTCACACAGATATTTAACACTTTAATTGCCTTTTCATATAATTGTGGATATTCTTCCTTAAAGCCTCACTAAAACACCACAAAGTAGCAGTCTGTTAAAAGGGTTAGCTGCAAAGTGGAATCTGAATCCTTGCTGTTATGTCCAGTATTTTTTGTACTCTGCTCTACTAAAACCCAATGGTCTTGAACTCTGAATGAATCTTTGACTCGTGCATGATTTTGTAAGATCATACTACTCTTCTAAGAGCTAGCACGTTTTATTATATATCAAAAAATTAAAATTATCACCACCAATTTCATCAGAAATGTCTTTAAGCACTGGGAAGCTGTCAAGCTCACAGTGGTGGGTTCAAGTTTCCCCAAATTTCTATTTTAGCTTAAAACCCTGAATTCCATCACTGTGGCAAAAAATACAACCTGACATAAGAGGCCCACTTCATTCATCTGAATAGATGTCTGCCAAAAGCCTGAGTGTGAATAACTGTAGTCTTTCAGTGGATTTTCAAGTAAAAACTGTGTTCTAGGAAAAAGCAACTAGTTCTTAGGCTTATAACTCAAACATTAGACACTTTTTCTTGAGACATCATCACATTATCTCATGACCTAGCATAAGCTGAAGAGCTTTATTTGAACTTCCTATTCAGGCACACAAAGTGAATGATTTTTAACGTTTTGTCAAGAACATTCTTAAGTAAAACTAAAATATCTGCAAGTGTGCAGTGGTGAGGAATACAGCAAGTGTTTGTGGGGTTTGGGCCACTGCCGTCACCTGTGCCAGGGGTGGAGGAGCTTATTAGCCCACGATGTGAGCTCACATGGGAAAGGCTCTCAGAGGCCCTAAAGGGTCACAGAGCACACTCTGCTAACCGCGCCTCTGAGGCTGTCGCCAAGGGCGATGATCTCCTGCAATACCAGCTACAGTCCTCTTTAGAAAGACAAGTGTTCTCTCAGCTCTAAACATCAAGAACTAGACCGCAAATTAGGCGGAACTGATCGATGCGGTGAGTGTTTCAAAAACAGACAGGATACGTGTATACAATGGAATATTACTCAGCTGTTAAAAAGCACAACATTGTGCTATCTGCAGAGACAAGGATGGACCTAGAGACTGTCACACAGAGTGAAGTAAATCAGAAAAACAAATACTGTATATATAATATATGTGTAATATATATATTTTATATATTATATAATTTATAATATATTATATATAATATGTACTATGTATATAATGTATATATGTGGAATCTAGAAAAATGGTCGAGCTGAGCTTGTCTGTGAAGTAGAAATAAGAGTCACAGGTGTAGAGACCAAACTTATGGATACCAAGGGGGGAAGGAGGGGATGGGATGGACTGGGAAATTGGGATCAACATATATATGCTACTATGCAAAAATAGTTAACAAACGAGAAGCAACTATAGAGCACAGGGAATCCTCAAAAATCAACAACAACAACTAGACAGGACAGTGTCCATACCTGACACTGAGTGGGGACTCCACGGAGAGCCCCAGGAGGGCACAGGCATCGCGGGTGAAGATGTCACAGATGTCAGCCCACTGGTTTGCATCAAGCAGGTGAACATACGGTGAGTTCTCAATCCCTTGTCTCAGGTACACGAGGCTCCCCATCAAGACCTGAATGTCTAAACAGAAGCAGCAGCAATTTGGAGGTGTGAATGCTCACACTTGAAACAGAGTTTGCAAGTCATACAATGAAAAAGGTAAGAATTTTCCCAGTGGACATGGCATAAAATAACTTATTAACAATGTCTTGTAAAATTCTGGTCCTTAAGCTTGCTGTCTTTTACAGAAACAGCAGAGAAAAACAAGAAAAGGAAAGCACTAAATAATGAATGTATAATTATTTTATTCTTACACGCAGCACAGTGTGATTGCCATCACCCAGAGGAGTAACCCCTGAGTTGTAAATGGGGCCATTACTATCTTAGGCTGTAAAACTAGCCGGTCCCCTACACTGACCCCTGGGGTTCAGTGCGACCACCTCGGGACGCCTTCAGACATTTGGCTGTGGTGACAACAGCTGCACGGGGGGCGGCGGGGGGAGTGGTGGAGCAAGGACATACTTTGTCTCCTCTTAGTTTACCACAGAATCCTCCAAAATGTAAAGTTTCTTTCTGGCTTTTCAATTAAGAGACTTTTTGTTTTTAAGCCTTGCTGCACAGTTTGTAGAATCTTAGTTTCCCGATTAGGATTAAACCTGGGGCCCTTGGCAGTGAGAACAGAGAGCCCTAACCACTGGACCTTCAGGGAATTCCCTCAATTAAGAGGCTTTAATATTTTACTTCTGTTCTAGAGCCAGTCAAGAGCTTTTTTAATTCAGTGATTACCATCTACAATTGTTTCAGTTTCTTAGCAAATACATGTTACATCTAGTTAAGACAAACAAATTGCAGTGGCAGCTTTAGCTCTGTTTCAACCATTAAAACCCTCAGATTCTAGACTCACCTTTTTGATGATTTAGGGCAAACGGCTGAAAATTTTTAGCATACTGCAACGCCTCTCGCTGATTTGTAGTTCCACCCATTAACAAGCTAATAAAATAGAGTCTGTGTAGCTTAAATTCCAAGGAGCTGTTCTGGGCTATGAGCATTTCTCGGTTTGATACTGCCCATCTAAAGAAAAAGCAAAAAAAGATTTAACAGTAATAAAAAGCACAGGCATGTATGTGAAAAGTGGTTTGAAACCTAACAAGAAAAATGGGTTTAGTCTGCCACCTTGTGGAAGTCGGTGGTAACACCATCCCTTAGGACCAGAGACTTTGTAAATAAACAAACTATATACCAAAAGATGCTCTGCAGCCAGTGAAAGAAAGAAAAACATCAAATTAGATGACAATTACTATCTAATAAGGTTTTACATCAATACAAGATACAATTTTGACATATTTGGAACTGTACAAGGCCACACGTTAAAGCCGACGTCATTCATGAGATTCACTACTGGCTGTCTAGATCCACTACTCTTCCTGTTAAACTGTTATATTTAAAAATGTATCAGAAGATTCTGAAGGAGAATCATCTATGTTTAAATTTTCAGTGAAAAGGAAATCCAAAAAAGAGGGGATATGTGTATACATACAGTTGATTCACTTTGCTGGACAGCAGAAATTAACACAACACTGCAAAGCAACTATCCTCCAATAAAAATTTAAAGGAAGCTTTCACTGCTGCAAGATTTTGTGCTACTTGCTTTTAGACTGAAAATAGTAAATATAGGTATTTACCCTCAAGGTGCTTTTGATCTAATCAGGCAGATCAAGCTATATAAATATCATGTATTGTGTCACAGTGCCAAAAAGGTCTGTACCAGCAGTGTGAAAGAACAATATGCAGTTCTGAATGATCCAAAGTACAGTGACATCAGCCTCTGTAGTACAAAAAGTTGGAATAACTATCTTGAGCCAGGACCACATTAAAGGTGAGCACTAAAGCAGAAAGTCTATCAGCCAGCTGTTAAAATCAAATTTGCGAGCAAGTGGTAAGAAGCACTGCTTTATTTCTCTAAACATAATAACATGTAGAAGATGTCAGTATCACATTCTTCTCTAATCTGATCTTCACTTAGACAAATATTCCCCATTTAACCCCATTCACTAACGACCCTCAGAATCTAAACTGAGTTACTCTACTATTGAGTTGGCCAATATGTTTGTTCGGGTTTTTTCATTAAGATGGTAAGGAAAACTCAAATGAACTTATGGGTCAATCCAATACGCGTGTAAAATGTTTCCAGTTACTTGTAATGAATCAGCTGACTGGCATCAGACTTCCCAGACGGCACTTTCACGGATCCTGCATGGGTGCTTGCTGCTCAGTCATGTCCGACTCTCTGCGACCTACTGGACTGTAGCCCTCCAGACTCCTCTGTCCGTGGGATTTCCCAGGTAAGAATACTGAAGTGAGTAGCCATTCCCTTCTCCAGGGCATCTTTCCCACCCAGAGATGGAACCCAGGTCTCCTGCACTGCAAGCAGATTCTTTATGTCTGAGCCACCAGGAAAGCCCTCACTGGATCCTATCCTTCCCCAAAGGGCTGCAAATCCATATATCAATATTGTAATCAATCTGTTGATGCAGCCGCATCTTAGAGTCTAATCAAGAAGCTCCTCTGATCTCAAAATCAAAATAATTTTTAAAAATACTAATCACTTGGATCTTGGAAATATTTACTTCAATTTAAGTAAGCCTTGGATCCTTAACTGGCACTAAGGTCAATGCAGTCCAACTGTAACACCAAGGCAGATTCTTAACCACTAGACCACCAGGGAAGTCCCCAGAATGGCAAGGTTTTTTGGGTTTTTGTTTGTTTGTTTTTACAGTCTTCAATCCAAAGCAGAAGTAAATGCTCCATCATTTAAACCACAAGCAGCTTTCTGTTCCTAGTGCAATTTACATTAAAAGGTACTGAAGCAACTTCAACTTGGTTTTTACATTCACAGGACTTTTAAGAAAAATATTTATTTATTTATTTGGCTGTATCGGGTCTTAGTTGCAGCATGTGGGATCTTTAGTTGCTGGATGTGGGATCAAGTGCCCTGACCAGGGATTGAACCCAGGCCCCCTGCACTGGACGCATGGAATCTTAGCCACTGCACCACCAAGGAAGTCCCCACAGGCTTTTCAATATGCCTCATACCACAGCTTCATGTAGTCTAGCTCTCATCCCAGCTTCCCCTTGCTGTCATCATTTTCAAATCATCCTCAATGCCTTCAATTTACCTCCAGTAATTCATCTCTGTTGACAGCCTATCTTTCAATGATCCCTTTCTGCAGTATGTCCTGTGGGCTTATTACCAGGAGGTGAGGAGGCAATAGAGCCACACCCTTACTGTCTGAGGGTGAACGGAGTAACAGGTATGCTGTGAGCAAGCACCATGAGACTGAAGGGCAGTGATGTGACCAGCTGTGACCACGCTGCACATCTGTTATCTATGTTGTTATCCACAACTGAAAAGCTGGCAGCGAAGTCTGTATTTTATGTACCTACTCACAATATACCATGGTGACTGAAATCTCAACTGTGTTGCTGGGGAATTGGTGTTATCTCACTAAACTGTGGTGAAATTTGGGCATACTGGGAATTGTGCAGCAAGAACTGCCCATAGGTTTGGTAGAGAAAAGAAATAGGAGAGAAAAAAAATAAGGATTTTAGAGGCAGGAGGTTACTTTATAAAGACAAAGATGGCCCAGAGTGGTACAATGAAGAAAGAAGTTTGAACAACTGGGTCTATCATCACTGAGGTCTCTGCCCCATCCATCCTTCTTTCTGAGAGGAGGGGAGGCTGGAAGAGCCGGAGGGGAGGTTATGCAACATAGGGAAGGAGAAGAACACAGTGGCAGGCCAAATAGGGTGAGCTGGAGGCATCTGTGATGTGGTGTGAAGAATTAAAGGAGGAAATTAAGAGGGCTGCTGAGAACAGAATGGAGGCAGAGAGAAGTGCACGCCAAGAAAAACATGCAAACATATTCAGACAACCTGATGCAGCAACCTGTATCACCATCAACAGCGATGCGTTTAGGTGAAGCAAAGCTGGTCTGGAGAGAACGCTTGTTCCTTCCATGAAATGAGAAGCCATGGCCCTTCTCCCAGTGTAGGGGGCAGCTGTATTTTTACAAAAGTACAATGGGATAAACTGAGTAGCTGAGAACAGAACTGAAAAACTCAAGGCCCAGGCTCAATTACCACATTTTCTATAAGTTTCCTAATAATCTCTTCATCCACTGAACTCCAGATGTTTTTTCCGAAACTCTCTCAGCTTTTCACACAACCCACTTGGACAGCGGTCTCTTAAGGCGGGGGTTCTGCCTTGCTCAGCTCGGCACCCCACCTACTTTGAGAGGCACCAGACAGAGGAGGTCGGTTGGGCCAAATGTCATTGTTGTCAGTCGCTCAGTCGTGTCCGACTCTTTGCGACCCACAGACTATGCAGCCTGCCAGGCCCCTCTGTCCACGGGATTTCCCAGGCAAGACTACTGGAGAGGGGTGCCATTTCCTTCTCCAAACATGCATGGATTTAAATGCTGGCCCTGTGGTGTGAATCGTGGTGATCTGTTACTTAATGCACTCACATCCGTTTCCTTACTATAAAATGGGGGCAACTCACAGGGTTATAAGCATTAAATGAGGAGGCAAGTTAAAGCACTGAGCCCAGAGACTGGCACAAATTGACAATAATAAGCTACTTAATATGTGACTACTGAATAGATAAGCATAATATTCTCTAAAGTCATTAATCAGTTCAGCTCAGTCGCTCAGTCGTGTCCGACTCTTTGCAACCCCGTGAACCGCAGCACACCAGGCCTCCCTGTCCATCACAAACTCCCGGAGATTACTCAAACTCATGTCCATTGAGTCAGTGATGCCATCCAGCCATCTCATCCTCTGTCGTCCCCTTCTCCTCCTGCCCCAATCCCTCCCAGCATCAGGGTCTTTTCCAATGAGTCAACTCTTCGCATGAGGTGGCCAAAGTATTGGAGTTTCAGCTTCGGCATCAGTCCTTCCAATGAACACCCAGGGCTGATCTCCTTTAGGATGGACTGGTTGGATCTCCTTGCAGTCCAAGGGACTCTCAAGAGTCTTCTCCAATACCACAGTTCAAAAGCATCAATTCTTCTGCACTCAGCTTTCTTCATAGTCCAACTCTCACATCCATACATGACCACTGGAAAAACCATAGCCTTGACTAGACAGACCCTTGTTGGCAAAGTAATGTCTCTGCTTTTTAACATGCTATCTAGGTTGGTCATAACTTTCCTTCCAAGGAGTAAGTGTCTTTTAATTTCATGGCTGCAGTCACCAACTGCAGTGATTTTGGAGCCCCCCAAAATAAAGTCTGACACTGTTTCCACTGTCTTCCCATCTATTTTCCATGAGGTGATGGGACCAGGTGCCATGATCTTAGTTTTCTGAATGTTGAGCTTTAAGCCAACTTTTTCACTCTCCTCTTTCACTTTCATCAAGAGTCATTAATAAGAAAGTAACAATCTAAAAGTTACTTGGGCACTTCCATATAATGCTCAGTGTTACTTTGGTTTTTCTAGAAACAACTCTCTGGGAATCAGCATGTACCACCTAACTCCCTTCAAAAATATTTGAAGTTTTCTTCACTAGAAGTTCACACTGAATATGTGGGTGTTTGATTCACTGAGCAGGAGTAAGGGGTAAAAGACAGTCACCACCTTAATTAACCTGAAAACCATCAAATCCATCAAAACCATCAAATGAAGCACATGAAACTACAAAAACACAAAACTACATTCAGCACCAAAAATTACTTGTGTACACAGTACCGGAAGACACATGACAGAAAAAAAGTTAACAAAGGAATGGGGTGCTGTACTCTGGTTCATGGCACTTCTGGCAGAAGACTTCTGATCTTTCATTTTTTAAAACACTGCTGCTGCTGTTAAGTCACTTCAGTTGTGTCCGACTCTGTGTGACCCCATAGACGGCAGCCCACCAGGCTCCACCGTCCCTAGGATTCTCCAGGCAAGAACACTGGAGTGGGTTGCCATTTCCTTCTCCTTTTAAAACACTAACACCTGCTAAAGGCAGAGGAGCCAGAGATGAAATTGCCAACATTCGCTGCATCATCGAAAAAGCAAGAGAGTTCC